GTGAGAAAGAAGAAAGCTACATGAAAAAAACAATCCTGTTCACAATTGTGCCCCAGAAAATCAAATACCTAGGAATCAGCTTAACTAAGGAAGTAAAGGACCTGTACAAATAAAACTACAAAACTCTACTTCAGGAAATAAAAGAGGACATGAGGAAATGGAAAGATATCCCCTGCTCATGGGTCGGGAGACTTAACATTGTCAAAATGGCAATACTACCAAAAGCATTGTATAAATTCAATGCAATCCCTATAAGGATACCCATGACATTCTTCAAAGAAATGGAGCAAACACTCCTGAAATTTATATGGAACAATAAGCCCCCACGAATAGCTAAAGCAATTCTTGGGAAAAGAAAATGGGAGGAATCAACCTCGCGAACTTCAAACTCTACTACAAAGCAGTAATAATCAAAACAGCATGGTACTGGAACAAAGGCAGAACTGCAGACCAGTGGAATAGGGTTGAATATACTGACATCTCCCCTCAATCATATGATCATCTAATCTTTGATAAAGGTGCAAGTGATGTGAAATGGAGTAAGGAAAGCCTCTTTAACAAAGTGTGCTGGCAGAACTGGATGGCTACATGCAAAAAAGTGGGCTCAGAACTCTGCCTAACACCATGTACAAAAGTAAGATCAAAATGGATTAAAGACCTCAACATCAGACCAGAAACCATAAGGTACATTGAAGACAAAGTTTGGCAAATCCCTCCATGACATTGAAGCTAATGGTATCTTCAAAGATGCCACGCCACTGGCCGAGCAAGTGAAAACAGAGATAGATAAATGGGACTATCTTAAACTAAGAAGTTTCTGCACCTCAAAAGAAACAGTGACCAAAATACAAAGACAGTCTACAGAATGGGAAAGGATATTCGCCGAATACACGTCTGACAAGGGGTTGATATCCATGATATACAAATTACTGGTTAAACTCCACAAGAAGAAAACATCCAACCCCATCCAAAAATGGGGCAATGAAATGAACAGAAACTTTCTCAAAGAAGAAACCCAAATGGCAAAAAAGCACATGAGAAAATGCTCTACATCATTAATCATCAGGGAGATGCAGATCAAAACCACAATGAGATACCATCTCACACCTCAGAGACTGGCCCACATTCAAAAGAACAAAAGCAACTGATGCTGGCGCGGATGTGGCGAGAAAGGGACACTCCTTCACTGTTGGTGGGAATGTCGACTGGTTCAGCCCTTCTGGAAAACAGTATGGATGATGCTCAAAAAATTAGAAATTGAGTTCCCACTTGACCCAGCAATACCACTCCTGGGAATATATCCCAGAGAGGCAAAAACGTATAGTTGAAGTGACATCTGCACTTGTTCGTTCATGCAGCACTCTTTACAATAGCCAGAAACTGGCAGAAACCTGAATGCCCAAGAACAGATGACTGGTTAAAGAAACTTTGGTACATCTACACAATGGAGTACTATGTAGATGTTAGACAAGATGAAGTCATGAACTTTACATACAAGTGGTACAATTTGGAAAGTATCATGCTAAGCGAAATGAGTCAGAAAGAGAGGGATAGACATAGAAAGATTGCATTCATCTGGGGAATATAAAGTAACAAAATATGAGATTAATACCCAAGAATAGCTGAGATCAGCACCAGAAGGATTACTCCATAGCTTAGAGGCCAGCCAGGCATTCTAGTGGAAAGGGCAGCTCAGATAGAGAAGGGGGCACCATATAAAGGATGTTTGGAGAATCCTCCCAGGAGGGAAGATGCATGTTGAAAGTGACTATGGACTGAACATGTTTGCCACTCAAAGCCTCTTTTGCAGACCACAACACCCAAAAGGAGAGAGAGAACACAAGGGATCGCCCTGCCACAGAGGCAGGGTGGGAAGGGAGGAATGGGGGTGGGAGGGATATTATCCATGGTGGTGAAAAATGGGCACTGGTGGAGGGATGGATATTTGATCATTGTATAATATAAACGCAAGCACAAAAAATTGTAAATCTACAACTGTACCTCATGGTGTTTAAAAAAAAATTTCAGAATTTCAAAATCACGTGGCCCTACTGCAGCCACACGACATCATGTTATTCATAACGAGAAATAGAACACAAATTGTCTACTGTTGCCTTTTCAGCAGATCTGAGTGTTGGGGTAAAATCTCAAATAATTATAGTGGGTTTGGTGTCAAAATATTGAATGTGATCAAAGTAGAGAGAGAGAGAGTAATGTGGAAATCATCTGCCCCATAGGTAGGGTAGGGTGTGGGATGGGGGTATACTGGGGTTTTTGGTAGTGGAGAATGGGCACTGGTGAAGGTATGGGTGTTTCATTGTATGACCGAGACTTAGACCCGAAAGCTTTGTAACTGCTCTCACGGTGATTCAATAAATAAAATTATATATTAAAAAAAGAAACAAACTGACCACTCACTGATAGATAAGGTTTAAATGATGTGGTATATTTAGATTATGTAATTCGACCATTGCACATAAAGGAAATCTTGCCATTTTTGACAGTACAAATGGACCTATGTGAAATAACCCAGACAAAGTATCGCACTTACATATAGGATCTAAAAAGCAAACAAATACATCTTAGATCCATTGAAGAGACTGGCGATTGCAACAGTCAGTGGGTAAAAAGTGAGCGAAATGGTAAAGGGGAACAAAAAGTATAAACTTCCAGTTATATTAAAATCATGGAAAAAATACAGCATGGTGATAGAGTTAATAATATGGTATTGGGCCAGGGAAACAGCTCAAAGGACGAGTATACTCTTACCATGGCTGAGGTGAGTTCCTAAGAGATGTCCTCTCCTCCCTGCAACAGTCTAGGTGTTTGTAGCTCCCAGCACCTCTGGGCAAGAGCATAGCATCATCAGCACAAGAATTAGAATCATCAGGCCCACCTCACTGAGCCAACTATAGCTAAAAGCACTGCTGGTGAGATGATGCGGGGGTGGGGGGGGGGGTAGAATATTAAAGCTGCTAAGGAAGTAAACCTTTAAAGTACTTGAAAGAAAAATAAAAAGGCTAACTCCACTTGGCTTTCCAGTTGAAAGAGAAAATACAATTTTATAGTTCAAAAAAACTTTGAGAGGGAATATATTTGTTAAGAGTACAGATTCCTTGAGGGAGAGAGAGAAAGAAAGAGAGAGAGAGAGAGAGAGAGAGAGACTTAGAAACAGAGACAGACAGAAACAGAGACAGATACAGAGAGACAGACAGACAGAGAAGTGCCTGTTATAGAGGAAGCCTACATGTGTGGGGAGTGGGGAGGAAAAAAAACTGGGGTCATTTGTGGGGGGAAATGTATACTGACAGAGGGTTGGGTGTTGGAACATTGTATGACTGAAACCAGAGCATGAACAAATTTGTAACTGTGAATCTCACAGTGACTCAATTTTTAAATAATTTAATTTAATTTAATTTAAAAGAAAAAAATCCCTGTAGGCAACCTAGCAGAAATATGAACCAATATGACGCACCAAGACAAATTCATCTTACCTATTAAATAGGTAAGAATTTTTAAATAATTTCATTATAGCTACATGGTAAATATTCAATAAATGCACATAAACCATGGTTATTAAACATGGTCTCTGTGCCTGATATTATTAAACACATGAAATAGGAAAAGATATTTCAAGTGTTTAAATAGCACAAATTTATTGAGCAGAGTTAATGCTGGTCTCTAGAGTCAAATATCACATCACTAGAAAAATAAGTTACCTGTTGCTAGGAAGAAGGAAGGAAGCTCATTTAAACAATGAAAAAGGAAAATGCTACTCTGAGCAATTTTGTTTAATTTCAAATATGTTGTCAGAAAGGCAAAGAAAATTCTGTGTAGAAAAAAATCATGTATCACATGTACTAGAAGGTCAAATTTGTATATTCAGAATTCCAGCACTATATATTCATGCTAATTTATGAAGGTACATTCTGTTGATTACAAATAAAATGATTTTTCTTGGCAGTCAAGTGCAGGAAGACAAATATCAAATCTCAGTAGCTACACTTCCAGCTGTTTCGCAAACAGAGATAAAAGATAATCCCTGACTAAATAGCATCACTTTCTAGACAAAAAATCAACTTTCAAGTACACTGTGTTGAATAGGAGAAGCCAGGTTTACTCTCAAAGTTTCCAATAATTGGGGTTGAATAATATTTATCAGAGAAACTTGTGCACTGGGTTGAAATTGACAGGAGTGGTGCTTTTTGTCACAGCATGATGTTAATATCTGTAATTAAGGAAAAGCTTAAAGAGCATCTGCATAGTGAGTGCTTAGTTTGACAAATCTCTGCAAGAAAATTTACTGGGCTACATTATTTGTTTCCAGCCAAATAAATATGAAAAAATTGAAGATCATTTGTCATCAATTTCCTTTATCATGCTTCATCATCTCTAAGCCCATCCCTTTCACTTTTGGAATTATCAATATCATTATTGTCTCTTTTCATTCTTTCGTCCATGTCAACTCTACTCCCAATCTTCATCTCTACACATTCATTACTATGTCAAAAACCAATGAATTTACTGCCAATTATAATAGTATAACCACTAATTTAGGCAATTCCACCTCTATCACCATCATTCACATAGCTATCACCACATTTCTTTCACTATTATAACAATGCTAGCCACCAACCATCACCAGTATATCCACCATTCTCTCATGATTACCTTCCCTAGCACGGTATCACTTCAAACTTACCATAACCTCCACTAATAGTGATACTAGTAAAAATATTAGTAATAATCACTACCACAGTTCTCAGGTATTTAATATATCAGATACTATAGACTCTTGAAGTTTCTCTAACTTTCAAAAGAAAATGACTTGGAAAAGTGACAATAGTGAAATTTATTTATCTAGCAATTAATCAGTGTCTACATGCATTGTGAATCCAAGCTCATTTTTTTATTTAGTCAGTTCATAACTGCCATTTTATTTATATCTATGATGCCATAGACTTTATTTAGAGTGGCAATTATCATTCTTAAACTATTTCACACTCCACTTCCATTTCCATTAGATCTGAACACTGATCATGATGGTCATAAAAGAAGGAATAGTAATACTGAAGCTGACCTCACAGGGCTCATAGTCTGCCATAGTAAAACATGAGCTAGTTTCAAACAGGGTTAAAAAATTAAATTGTCTGGGGGTATGGTGCAGCCAGCAGGTCAATGTGTACCTGTGAGGCGAGTGCATCAGCAGCCTGATGGCACCTTCAGACTTTCAGATACCCCAAAATTGCTGCTGTATCTTTGCCAGACCCCAAAAACTTGGGGCAAAGTTTACCAAGAAAGTAAACGGCCAAAAGTTAGGTATGTGGGAGACACACCCACAAACCACCTCCGGCTCAGCTATATAATTGGAGGCATGGAGAGGCATGGCCTCTCTGGTTCCTGATTGAAATGCTTAATAGCCATGATCCCAGAGACTCAGAAACAAATCTGGAAACCCAGTGGCTTTTGGCAGAAATGTGTTTGGTTCCTGCAGTAGGTTAACAGTGCTGGGCCACTCCAGGTGGGAATAGTGGCCAGTGGCCGCCATCCTTCAGAGGCCATCAGACAGTCAGGTTTGGGCCCCCAGTGACGAGACATGCAGGGTCTCACGGGATGGGGTGGGGAAGCCGATCCTGTCCTCCCCACCCCAATGAGACTTCAAGTCATCGCCCACGAATGGCCTCTCTGGCTCCTGATCAAGCTGCTTAATGGCCATGATCCCAGAGACTCAGAAACAAACCTCGAAACCCAGTGGCTTTTGGCAGAACTGCATCCGGACCCCGCAGTACGTTACTATCGCCGGGCCACCCCAGGGAGGAAAGGCTGTTGTCATTCCGCCTGCTCCCTCTTGGCAGCTCGGTGGCAGTCATCCTCCAGAGGCCACTGGACAGTCAGGCTTGGGCCCGCAGTGACGAAACTTGTTGGGCCTCGCGGGTTGGGGGGGAGCCGGTCCTGTCCTCCCCACCCCAACGAGACCCCAAGTCATTGCCCACGAATGCCCTCTCTGACTCTGGATCAAGCTGCTTAACGGCCATGATCCCAGAGACTCAGAAACAAATCTTGAAACCCAGTGGTTTTTGACAGAAATGCGTCTGGACCATGCAGTAGGCTACTGTCGCTGGGCCACCCCACAGGGGAAAGGGTGCTGTCTCTCTGCCTGCTTCCCCCTGGCGGCTCGGTGGCTGTCATCCTCCAGAGGTCATTGGACAGTCAAGCTTGGTCCCGCAGTGATGAAACTTGTTGGGCTTTGTGGGATGGGGGGGGGGGGCTGGACCTTCCTCCCCACCCCAACGAGACCCCAAGTCATCGCCCACGAATGGCCTCTCTGGCTCCTGTTCAAGCTGCTCAATGGCCATTATCCCAGAGACTCAGGAGCAAATATCGAAACCCAGTGACTTTTGGCAGAAATCCCTCCAGATTTAAGTGTTAAAATTTCAGAATTTCAAAATCACATGGCCCAACTGCAGCCACCTGACATCATATGTTATTCATAACCAGCAATAGAAAACAAATTGCCTACTGTTGCCTTTTCAGCAGATCTGAGTGTTGGGGTAAAATCTCAAATAATAATGATGGGTCTGGTGTCAAAGTGTTGAATGTGATCAAAGTAGAGAGAGAGTAATGTGGAAATCATCTGCCCCACAGGTAGGGGGAGGGTGTGGGATGGGGGTATACTGGGGTTTTTGGTGGTGGAGAATGGGCACTGGTGAAGGTATGGGTGTTTCATTGTATGACTGAGACTTAAACCCGAAAGCTTTGAAACTACTCTCACGGTGATTCAATAAATAAAATTATAAAAAATGGGGAAAAAAAGTAAGGTGGAGTTCATGCACAATTCAATCAGCTAATCAGTGGCTGAATAAATAGCAGTACTCCTACATTAAAAAAAATTCACCATAAAAAAATTAAATTGTCACTGTCCTTCCATTGTTCATCAATTTGCTCAATCGGGCCCAGTAACGTCTCCATTGTGAGACTTGTTGTTACTGTGTTTAGCATATCAAATACATCAGGGGTAGCTTGCCAGGCTTTGCCGTGCAGGCGAGATACTCTTGGTAGCTTGCTGGGCTCTCCGAGATGGGCGGAGGAATCGAACTTGGGTCGTCCATGTTGGCTACGTGCAAGGCAAATGCCCTACCCGCTGTGCTATCATAAATTAAATCACATAATTCTCATCCCATCCCCTCCTCTTTGTACAATATATCTCTAAAAGTGAAATTCAACAAGAGCATATGGTTTGGGGCTTGAGTGATAGCACAACGGGTAGTGCAATTGCTTTGCATTCAGCTTACCTGGGTTTGATTCCCAGCATCTCAGATGTTCCCCTGAGCACCGCCAAAAATAATTCTTGAGTGAGTGCAGAGCCAGGAGTAATCCTTGTGCATTGCTGGGTATGACTCAAAAGGGGAAAAAAAACATATGGTTTGGGTACAGCCATTCTAGCTCTTCTCTATGAACTTTCTGTGTGTCAAAGGAAAATACCACCTTACCTCTTCATCACAGCTGCTGGCTGCACCAACTGACCATCATCAGTATTTCTCCACCTCTGAGCACAGCCTCCATAGGTCTCTTTCCCCAACTGTCTCCTGTCCTCTGACACTTGAATTTCTTCATTGCCCTCTTTATTTCATCTCTCAAGTGCCAAGAATGCCGTTGTCTGAACTGAGATACAGGATTCTCTGTCTAAGACCAATCCTTAAGCTAAGAGGAACAAATCAAGAAAACTCTACAGTCGTCTTGTTCTCTGAAAATCAAACATCAGTTTATTTGAGGCTTATGAAATGAATTCTATCTCCTCAAGCCACTGGTTGAAATAACAATAAAAAGGAGGAAACAAGATCTTACTCTATCTTAATGTGAGAAAAGTTCATCACCAAAATCTAACATATAGATAAAATAGCTCAGTAGTCTGCTAAAGCTAGCATTAAGGAAACTAGACAAAATGTTTATTTCTATGTATATCTATCTGCATCAGATCAAAGGCTAAGTCTCCCCAAACTATTAGACAGGACTCTCAAAAACTTTCAGAACAGGAACTGCCAAAATATATTACTTGAGCATATTCACTTTTCAGAGATGAGTCAATCCAATACCAACAAATTCTTGAGAAACTTTTACCATTCCCTTAATTACATAGAAGAACAAAAATTTGGGTTATTAACTTTTTATTTAGGGTTATTAACTTTTTATTATTTAGGATTATTAACTCTTATAATTTAGGATTATTAACTTTTTCTATTTAGGCACTTAAGCTTTTTTTAAAGAAATAACTGCTCTATTGGAGAAACCCATCTAGAAGTGAGGACAAACATGTAATTATAGAGTGTCGGGTCTTTGTAATATCGCACTGCCCTTCCTCCTTGAAGTTCCAGGAATCTAGCTATCCTTTAGTTTAAGGAATGAACTCTCATTTTGTTTGTTGAAATCAGAATTCACATCTACGTAGATTCTTCATATCATATAATTAACCTTGAATTTTTTTCTATGAATTTGTCTGGTATTAATTTGATTTCTCTATCAGCTTATGGAGAAACTAAAAGAGTATGGTGAAATTTTCTCCTGTTCTTTCCCCTCCTCAAGAGCTCTATGCCTGGTGTTGAAATTTTAGAAGATGGACAAAGAGAAACCTGCTGTTACATATGGATTTGTTCACCTCAAAGTACATGGCAAGAGGCAGTGATTCTAGTTATGGTTCTATGTAAGCAGAGAATAGCATGTAAATATAATTCATGTCAAATTTCTTGAAAGTGTAGACAAGACACAAAATTAAGGAAAAATGAAGGAGTTTCCATATTAATAATCTCATAATCTTTAGTACTAAAGTCTCCAAATTGATCTTTTTTGAAAAATTTTTTGGGGGGCTCACACCCGGCAATGCACAAGGGAAACTCCTGGCTCTGCATTCAAGAATAACTCCTGGGCGGTGCTCAGGGGAACCATATGGGATGCTGGGAATCGAACCCAGGTCTGCTGGTGCAAGGAAAGTACCCTATCCGCTGTACTATTGCTCCAGCCCCTCCAAATTGATCTTTTAACTCTCATATTATTTAACTTAATATTGCATAATTAAGGAATCAAACAGTATGAATGGAGAAGGCAAATCTAAGAGAATAAAGGCAGCACTGAAAAAATAGCTATATTGTAAAAAGTAAATAACATTTGGAGAATAGGTATGTAGAGCAATCTCATCTAATGCAATTGTTCCAATTCTTATTAAAAATTGACTTTAAAGCAATTTTCCTTTAATCAAAACCAGTTTTTCCATTGACTCACATTATAAAACCAAAGATGTGTTCACCACAGGAAATATTTTAGCCCTGAGTCTAAATAAAAATCACATTTAACAATGCAACAAAACCCTCTAAAGTCAATTATCTAAAGTAAAAGCTATAGCTTTCTGACAAAATAATGATAACACTCAAAATAATTCAGAAAATACAAATAATATCACAGGACCAACATTCCCTTAAAGATATATGCATAGAAGCAAATCACCCAGAGATAATTCAACATAAAAAAATTCCTGTGATGTTTTCATTTATAATAAAATATATATGTATGGCCTTTCTCCCATACACACAACTTTTAAAAGTCTTGAAATTTCCTAAATAATAGGTGTAATAAAAGTGAATGGGAGAAATTTTTGCTATTCATAAGTTTGTTTCAACCACAACTGAGTTTGTTAATGAAGTGAAGCTGTTTCCTGGGCCATTCTAGCAACTTATCCAAACTGAGGAGATAATTATGTCCTCAAATTCACACAAAGCCTATCATCAAAAGTCACAAACATCATAATCTATAGGCTGTCATCACAAGTTTGGTCGCTCATCTCTGAAGTAGGGGCAGTCTTGTGAGGATCTGTGGGTTCTGTAAAAGGATTTAACTCTGAAATGGAACCAGAGGATACAAAATGGACAATGTTTTGTATTTAACTTCAGAAGAATAAAATTTAAGAACAGACAAATGGCTCAAAAGTATGGTTTGCAGGAGATAGAATTTATCTACTAATCAATGAACATGTGCCAAGAATCCCTGTCCTTACTCAAAATCAATGAATTTATCATTGGCCTTTAGCTGGACACGACCCTCTTTGCACTCCTTGACTATAAATACAGACTGTCCTAGACTCCAAA